GTATATGGCACCCCCAAATAAAAAGATCCTTAAGGTTAGAGGCTTAACGACGTGACAAAATCAGGGGCTGAGTGAGCCTTACTATCTTTTAGTGACAATAAGATGGAAGTTTACAGCACCAAGAAACAGAAGGTAGATAAAGAGTTTCACATGGCCATTTATTACCTATCTAAGGCAATGCCAAGCCCCATTCAGATATATCTGGACTGCTTCTGGCCCTCCACTGAAGGTGGGATTCTTCTTCAATCTGTGGGACAGTCCTGGACCTCCATGCTGGCATGGTTCATCTAGTACAGTTGGGACCTAACTCAGATCACTGTCCTACAGATGAAAGCAAGGCACTGCAGAGGTGAACAGGCAAGTGTTTCGGCAAGGAACACAGCCTGTCTACCCCTCCCTGCTTCTGAACATTAGGGCAGAAATTGTGAGTTATGATAACTCTCTAAATTTAGAACACTGAAGGGCAAGATTCTCTGTTGTCTGAAAAAAACCACTGAAAGCAAGCCAACATAAGCATCTGTAGGAGCTCCATTTTTCTCTTCCTTCAGTGTGGCTTAGTTTCTGAGAGAGGAGCACACAGACCTTGGTGCAACTTGCTTAAGAATGATGATTATAGTACATGAACTGTTTCCTTCTTAAGTAGAACAAATAATTATGTGATAGTCTCCTTCAATCCTTCCTTGCTAAATACACAAAAAGCATCTGCAGAATGAATAATGAAATAAACCAACCAACCAGTGAGCTGGAACCCACTTCTCTTCACTTCCCATCCAACACTTTCTAGTACACAATTCTGTTTCCCACTATGCTGGCCTGGTGTCTGCCTTCTGAACAGAATAAGCAAGTAGTGAGGCTCTAGCTAAACTTAAATGTGCTAGCTCCAACAGCCCCTAGAAATTCCAAGCCAGGCTGTCAAATTGAAACTGTCTCTAGACAATAGCCGTGCAGCTGAGGAAGTGAGCAGCACGCTGACCATCTGCTCCCTTTCTTCTCTGGGGAGCTGAGCTGAAGGAATTCACGGAGGTTAATGAGCCCTCTCTGGCTCGTATAGTCTTGCACAATCTGTGGGTCTGGGTCTCGTCCATTTAGAAGATAAACACACACTTGAAATGCCTTGGGTGTGCACACGCCTATACAGTGATTAGAGCTCTCTTGCCAAAGTGATATGCGAACTTTTTAGAGGCTATAAAGGAATACTGGAAAACCACTCGGCCTTTGTAGTCAGAAAGCCTTTGTAGTTCAGGGTTACAACCCTTGATTTCTCCACTTATTAACTGGGTAACTTTGGTTCCTTTTACCTCTCTGAGCTCTGTTTCTTCATAGATAAAATGGGAATAATACAAAGAGTTATGCCTTGCAGGGCTATCATGAAAATTAAATTAATTAAGTGTGCAAAGTGCTTGGTACAGAACATTCAACACATGGGCTACTATGGTTACTGGTATGTAACTAAACTCCTTCTCAAATACATTTCTATACATTTACTTCTTCAAACCACCCATGGTATTGAAACCAAATGTTTGAAACTATTCCATAAAGATTCACTAAGTGACTAATACACACCAGTACCTGCACTGGGTGATAAATATTGAGACAAATAAGAGAATGGCATAAGAGAAAGGGGAAAGAAAATAATATTTATTGAGAACCCATACTGAGCTAGGCACTGCACTAAGTGCTGGGAATCCCAGGCAAGTAAGTCACAGCACTGGAATTTAATGAATTTAATGCTTGATTTTTCATTTCACACATTCATTCCTTAAGAGAAATCAAGCTCATGAAAGTTCCTATGGCTTTCTGGTTACCAGAATCTCTACTCTGAATTTCACTAGAGCAGAAGAATGTACCTCAGAGACTTGCTTCACACTTCAGCCAGGCCTGAGCTCCTTCTTTCTCAGCTTGCCACTCTTCTCTATCTTCAGTTGCCCATTTGCAGTGATGAATGACTAGTTTCTCAACCAATGCCTTGGTGCCCTTGGCCTCAATATTATTGTTTTTGAAAGTAATTGTGGTGTGGCAGGATCATGCTGCCCTCTTAATTAAGGGCATTTGTGGTTTGGTCTTTGTCCCATGTCCTCCTGGTCAATTATGCTTATTTATTCCCTGTTGTCAATTTGTCACTAATAAGTCCTCTCATATAATGTTATTACAGCACAAGTGATACACTTCTATATAATTTCACGAAAAAGTAGACATTACTGGAACAAAAAGTGCTTAGAGAACATGATGAAGAAAACATTTCACAGTGTTGGTTTGTTCTCTATTTCCCACAAATCTACAGTAACAAGTTACAGATTTCAAAAATAACTCTAGAGTTGCCCCTCTCAATTGAATAACTCAATTTTTAAAAAAACTCATCACAGGACAATAGCAATCAATCTATTTTGCGACACAATAATTCTAAAACTATTAAAATGTAAATGTTAAAAGAAACCATAAACATTCTAGAACAAAAATAAGTGAAAGGTTTTATGCCCTTAGGTGGGAAAGACATTTCTAAGCATGCCATCAAAGGCAGAAAGCATTAGGAAAATCAATAGAATTGATTTCAAAAAACATTAAAAACTTTTCTATGGCCAAAAATTCCCCATAAACAAAATTATCTCCTAGAAACAAAATAACTAAAATATTAACAAACATAAATAAATAAGGAAACATATTTGCAATCCACAAACAAAGAGCACAACATATGAAGTGCTTTCACAATTGCAAAATGGGCAAAAGTCATGAAAAGACAATTCAAAAAACACAATGTCCAGTAAACATATAAAAAATATGTTTGAGTTCACTAATTTAACAAATACAAATTAAAACAATAAGAAATATTTTTTTCAGTCATTAGATTGGCAACTAATAAACTTATGAGTAATGCCAGTGTCGGCAAGTTATGCATACAAACCAGCATTCTCATACATTCTTAGAAATACAAATGGGCTTAGTTTTCTGGATAGCTATGTTACAACACGCAAACAAAAAAAGATTTTAAAAGTATACCATCTGACTCAGCAATTCACTCTGGGTATTATCCTAAGGAAATAATCAGAGAAGTCACAAAGGTATGTGCATTAGAACATTTGCTGTAACACTGTTTATAATGAAAAATTCAAAACATCCTAGTATCCATAGAGGACAGTTAAATAAATTATGTTACAGTCCTATAGTAGAATACTATGTTACTATTAAAAATTATAATGATTCTCTCTCCCTTGTTGGCTTTGAAAAAGCAAGCTGCCATTTCTGAGGTCTATGTAGAGGACCACACCACAAAGAACTGAGGGTGGCCTTTAGAAACCGACAGCAGTCCATTGCTGATGGTCAGCAAGAAAATGGTGACCTGTCTATAGCTGCAAGGAGATGAATTCTGTCAGTAACCTGAGGGCACATGGAAGTGGATCTTTTCACAGTTGAGCCTCTGATAAGATTGTAGTCCTGGCCAATACCTGGATTGCAATCTGTTGACAGAAACTGTGACAGGACTAATGATGCACAGAAACAGATAATAAATGTGTGGTGTTTTAAGCCGTTAAGTCTGTGGTACTTTGCTCAGCAAAGCTAACATGTTATGTAAAAAATAGTTATGAAACAGTATGTATGACATGATCTTAAAGTATACTTATATTTGAATAAATGTTCATAGAAAAATGTCTTGGACAATGTAAACCACCACGTGTATTCCTCATACTTTTCTGCCTTTCTTGAAACTTTTCAATGAACATGTATATTATCAAGATAGATGTATTCTCATTTTTAAAGAAAAAACTATATTCAAAACTTTAGGAAGAGAGTTTATCTGTGATGGTGTAAATTTTGTGTCACAATTATTCTACAGTTTTAAGCCCTTAGAAATTTAGAAAACTAAAGAATTTATGTATAACTAAATAATTTATGTATAAATAATACAGTGATCTTTTTTTCCACTGGGGAATCCTGTTGTTATTGAGTTGGAACTCCAAGAAGGTTGTTAGGTAAACATAGAATGAAAGTAAAACCCACATATTACTCAAATTTGTGGAATAACCATCCAAGTTACAGTAGAGAAATGATATCTACATAGTCCAGATTTCCCATACAGTGCTTATTTAAAATACTAAAGTTATTTTTGTTTATAAAATATAATCCTAATAACTATAGAATATACCTTTCGAATGGCTGGAATACAGTATTTATATCCACTTGTAAGATGTGAAAATCAGCTAGAGACTCTGCGCTATAGAGTTTGCTGAAGCAAACATCACACACGTGACCTCTGTCCATGATTGTGCTCTCTATCCAATTTAATAATCTTTTCATGATCCAAAGGAAATCTCATCCCCTCCCTAGGGGGGCGTGTTTAAACACTCTCAACTTCCTATCCCACTACTTTCCTTCTCACAATTGGCAGACAATCTGGTTGGCCTAACTAGGGTTATCCATCTATCCACTAGTTGGGGGAACACAGGGCATCTTAATAATGCCACCAAGACTACACACAAGGTGGAGAAATAATTTCCCCAAAGCAAGGGAAGGAGTGGATGCTATGGCCAAAGGATGCAAACTCCCTGGCATGGTACACATGATCCATCACGACAGGACACTAACTCCTCAATAGGTTCTTCTACCCCCTCTTTCTTCATAGCCAGTGTCATATACGCTGGCTTCTCTCACATCAACATACTTTTACACTACCTGATCCCTCTGCTTGCACTGCCATTCCGCTTACTTGGCTTGATCCGCTCAAGCTTGATTTTCAAGACTCAGGTCAATCATCATTTCTTTAGAAAGTCTTCTCTAACGAAAATCCCTCTTTTTCCCTCTCTCCAGCCAGGTTGGATACTCTTCTCATGTGCTCCCATACCGCCCAAATACCGTTATCATGATGTGTTCCAATTGTTTGTATACTTGTCTGTGTCCCCATAGACTGTGGGCAGGGCAACGTCTAATTCACCTTAGAATTGTTCATGCTTAGTTCAGCACAAGTATATACAAGACATTGTTTTTTAAATGTATGAAACCAATCTTTTTTTTTTTTTTTTTTTTTTTTTTTTTTTTGAGATGGAGTCTCACTCTGTGGCCTAGGCTGGAGTGCAGTGGTGCGATCTTCCCTGCAACCTCCGCCCCTGGGTTCAAGCAATTCTCCTGCCTCAACCTCCCTAGTAGCTGGGATTACAGGTGTGCACTACCACGCCTGGCTAATTTTTGTATTTTTAGTAGAGACAAGGTTTCTCCATGTTGGCCAGGCTGGCCTCAAATTCCTGACTTCAGGTGATCCGCCGCCTCGGCCTCCCAAAGTGCTGGAATTACAGGTGTGAGCCACTGTGCCTGGCCTCCATTACTTACTATTAAGTCCAAGTATGTGCACAGTTCTCTGTAGGCCAGTGCTGAGAAATACCAAGTCAACGTTTTCAAATCTCTTTTCATCTGTTGCTTACTAAAACAAATTTTTTACATCATTACCATACTGGTGTTTAGATGTCACACTATTTTTGCATTGGTGTATTATGTGGGGCCTGCTTCCTGAGCCACAGGGCAGTATCGTATCTCCATCTTCTTTGTTGATTCCTGTCAGCTTTAGGCAGAGTGGCCTTTGTGGACTTGGTACAGAAAATAACATTCTCAGGTCCATGTGCTTGCACTCTGCAGCCAACTGGTATCAGACCATCTGGTCAATCTAACAGCCTCTCTGCATTCAGTTTGTCACCATTTCTATCTTCTAGTGTCATCTGCAACATGCGGCTAGTAATGCCTACCTAGAATTAAATGTGAAAATAGACATAAAGTATCCAGTATAGGGTCTGCCACAGAGTATGTATTTGCCTAGTGAGTTGTTCTGCACATGCAGGGGAAGGACTTATTTCTACTGAGCCGTGAGACACAGGAACACTTGCGAGGGTGAAAAAACAAGATGCAGCAGAGATTGCAGTTGCTTAATTAAATTCATTCCTCCCTTCATTTTGGAAAGAAGATTTTTAAGGGCATCAATGTGCCAAGTTAAGATTATAGTTCCCAGCTCTGCGAGGTCATGATGCTACATTCGAGTCTGTAAGATGTAGTTAGAAGGTTTTGTGTGCGGCTTCCAGAAAGGCTCTTTCTAAAATAAGGATGTGATGGCTGGAGCTCCAACTACTATTTTGGCCCATAAGGCAGATTTGTGGACGGAAGCAAGGCTGTGCGGATGACAGAGCCGAACGAGTTTGGTTACCTTCCTCCCACTTTCTTCTATGACAGAGGGGAAAAGTCCCTCGTGGGTTTAGGATACTGGAATCTGGGGGGTTCTGTTACACGCAGGCAAACCCCGTCAGCCACTCTGTAAACTGCTGGGCCTTGCCCTCACCCAGATTCTGCTCCTCGGATTTCTCTGAATCACCTGGGGCCGCGATGCCGTAAGAGTTGGGCCGCCAGAACCAGGAGAAGCAGGGGGAACAACACAGGAAGCAGGCCGGGAGAGAGGCGGCCAGACGTCTGGTTCAGTCCGCGCTGCTCCAGGGCTCTCCTGGCTCTTCCTCCTTCGCTCGTCTCGACCCAGCGGCCGGGGAGCGCGAGGAGCCAGCTCCGCCGCCGTCCTTCTTGGCCCGCGCCGTCCCCTAGCCGTCCTCGCGCCGTTCGCTTCCCCAGGGTCCCCTTTCCGCACCCGCACCATCCCCTCAGCCTCCCTCACGGTTCCCTCACCGCCCGCGCCTGTTCGAAAAAGCCCAGAGCCGCCGCTCTCGTCACGGTCCGCTTCAGGCCGCCATTGGCCGGCACACGTCACGTGCGGCGTCTGGCGGCTGACATTGGCTGGCGAGCGGGCGCGCTGAGGGCAGCGCAGGGGACGCGGCCTCAGCAGGGGCGCCCCGTCGCGGGGAGCAGCCTAGGCGCTCGCCGGAGGACGCTGCCCGGCGGGCGGGGCCGGGATCCCTCTGCCTCCTGGGCGCGTCGGGAGCAGCGGGGATCGGTGCCGCGCCGTGAGGGTGCGCAGAGGCTGCCCTAGAGCCCGCTACCCACAGACCCTCCGCGGAGCAGCGTCTCCGGGCCGGCCGCGCCCTGGTCTGCCGGCCGCAGACGACGTGCGACACGGACGGCGCGTCCTGCTGACCCCAGCCGGCGCCGAGGGCTTGGAATCCCGAGCGGGAAAAGGTTCGGAATTTGCAGCTAGTTTAGCCGCACACTCAGTATGGCTGTTTCAGATTTGTTTTTTTAAACGTCTAGTTATTAAGTGATACGTGGTTGGAGGCAAATCATTGAGGGTCGTGAGCTTGAAACTAAAGTGTAAAGGTCTTGGATTTGAGGATCTCACATTCAGATGTCTGCAGGGACCAGGCTGGGAGATGCTGGGAGAACCCCCACGTTCTGGGATGGCGAGCGCCTCTCAACTGCCGCTCAGAGCGATCTCAGATTTTTCATGAGAAAGTTGAATGTCGGGTTTTTTATGTGAAATCTCTTAATTTGTAAATGTTGGCAATCAGTTAAAAAAAGAAAGAGAGAAACACTGGAAGCCAAACAAAAGACATTTATAAGCTGGTTCTAGTCTGCCAGTTTGTGCCCTCTAATTTAAATCTAATTCTGCCACTAAATTAGTCACGTGACCTTGACCAAGTCACTTATCTCTCGGACATGCATTCTCAATATGGCTGATATTGCTTATGTTCTTAGGGGGGCAAAAAGATCGTAGATATTACCGTTCTTTGTGGCCTTCCAAAGAGCCTCAAAACAAGCAGATATACATTATACCTATGGCATTGAAATTGTATGGGGTTGGCAGATTCGGAAATAAAATGTCTAAAACGTCTCCTGGGAGGAGAGGGGGGAAATCAAGAAAAGGTTGAGAAACACTGCTTTAGGGAGGTGGATAAGCAGATGATCCTGCGATAGTTGTATATGTGGAAGGATTAAAATATACTGGCATTCATAGACTGAGAGCTGGAAAACTCCGAGAGGTCATCTTATAAAAGTTCCTTGCCAGGCACTGTTAACACACACACATACAGGTACATACATGTATACACACATACATATGCCCACACAGTTTTATTTGATCTCCACAACAAAGTGTCATTTCATTTACTGTATGGGAAAACAAGCTCAGAGCGTTTGGGTGACTTGCCACAGTCAGAACTATTAATATTAAATGGAAGAACTGGGATTTAAATCCAAGTCTATATGGCTCCAAAACCACCCACTCATCCTGTTGGTTCCCAGCTTGTCCAGTTGTGTCTAAACCTCTTAGTGCACAAGAATTCCACCTTGTGGCTTTTTAAAAATGCAAAAATCTCCGCTCCCACTCCAGAAATGAGGATTCAGTATCAGGGACAGGACTGGAGGATCTGCATTTTCACACCCTTCTAGGATGATTCCCATATTGGTGACCCAGGGACCATTTTAAGAATGATTGTTCTAGTCTAATTTCCCACCCAACCCCAAAGGCTTCGTGGGGTTGTACCCAAGGGGCTCAAATTTCTCCTCCCGAACAGAGATTCCGTCTCCTTTTGCAGACAAGTGACCATTCAAGCTTTGGAAGGAAATCTTTTGTTGGAGAAAACCAAGGTTTAGGAGACAGCACCCTATGCTGTGGAACAGCTTTCATTTTGAGACAGTCTTGACAGTTTTGCTGTGCTTTTGTAAATAGGAGCTTCCTTCTGTGCTATTCTGATCCTCCTTGAAAACTAGGTTCAAGGCATTTATTTGAAAGTTACTATTAAACTTTTATTATTTATTTATTTTGAGACAGGGTCTCACTCTGTCATCCAGTCTGGTCTCATACTCCTGGGCTTAAATTAATCCTTGACCTCCTGTAGTGCTGGGATTACAGGTACAAACCACCACACCCGACCTCACAATGCTCTTAAAAGCACATCCTTTTTCTATTTTTTTTTTTTTAATTATACTTTAAGTTCTAGGGTACATGTGCACAACGTGAAGGTTTGTTACATATGTATACATGTGCCACATCGGTGTGCTGTACCCATTGACTCGTCATTTACATTAGGTATATCTCCTAATGCTATCCCTCCCCATCCCCCCACGCCACGACAGGCCCCCGTGTGTGATGTTCCCCTTCCCGAGAAGCACATCCTTTTTCTTTCTCTCTCTCTCTCTTTTTATTTATATATTTGTTTATTTTAAGTTTGAAACAGGGTCTCGCTCTGGTGCCCAGGCTGGAGTGCAGTGGTGCAATCTCAGCTCACTGCATCCTCAACCTGCCAGGCTCAAGCAATTCTCCCACCTCAGCTTCTCAAGTAGGTGGGATTACTGCTGTGTGCCACCACGCCCAGCTACTCTTTTGTGTTTTTTATAGACATGGGGTTTCGCCATGTTCCCCAAGCTGGTCTTGAACTCCTGGGCTCAAGTAATCTCCCGCCTCGGACTCCTGAAGTGCTGGGATTACAACTGTGAGCCACCGTCCCCAGCCTGGACATCCTTTTTCAAAACCAACAACTGCCTCAAAGTCCAGACATTTTCTTTGTTCTAAATTAAGCAGTATAGAGGATGTGAAAATGTATACATTGAAATGTTTCTTCAGAATCATGTTTTATGTAATTTACTTATGTATTTCTTTTTCTAAAAATGATGTAAGTTGAGTAATCAAAATATTTCTTTGCAGTTATTATCTGGATCGTTTCGTGTACCTAATGTGGTGTTACTGAAAAAGTTGTATTTCATTTTTCTGGTTTCTGTGGTGGCAACGTGGGATACAGGAAATAAAGTGGGTTTAAGGAAGAACTGGTGTTCTAATCCCAATTCTAGTACTTTCTAGTTATATGACTTTGGGCCGGTGACATCCTCTCCGATTCTCAGTTCTTCCTCTCTGATTCTCACTTTACTAATCTTTAAAATGGGGACCGTGCCTCCAGGGTTGTGACATTTATATGAGACAGCATGTGTAAAGCCCTAGTAGAGTGCTAAGCACAGCTATATTCTGTTAATATTAGTTTTTTTCCTCTCTCACTCTCTTCAGAGCAAACTTATGAGTTCCTATCCTGCTGTAATATTTAAGATCATTTTCATTTCCAAAAAGATGCATTTTCTGGAGCACTTAACTATATGTGAGACATTTAAAGTTTCATAAAAATATAGCGGGCCATCTTTTTAAAAAACTTTGCTGAGAAAACTAAGGGCAAATTGACTATCTAGTTTCTTACCAGGTTTTGCTCTCTATGACCAAAATCATCCATTTGTTAATTCAGCAGATATTTATTAACACTTATTATGTGCCAGGCAGTATGGTACATGTAGACAATATAACTGTAAAGAAGACAGACAAGGTCCCTAACCTAAAAGAAATTATATAAGAAAAAGATAGTAAGCAAATAAAGTAATTACAGATTTTAATAAATGCTTAAACAGTAAAACTGAATAATGTCAGTGAATTTAACATGGTGAAAAAATACGTTCCTCACTGAGTTTAAATTTGTGAAAAAATATTAGGAGATTATTTTAAACTCTTAAGTCTCAATTAAGATTTTGAAATGTGTCTTCAGTGAAAGGTATTAGTAAAAACTAATTTTTAAAGTTTATTTTAGTCATTTGAGTAGTAACAATAACAAAATAATAATAATAGAATAAATAACATAAAGGAAAAAAGTCAGCCATATTCCCTTCATTAGTATTTTGGTCAATCTGCTTCAGTTTGTGTATATTTATTTTTACATACTTGTACACAGTTTTGTATTTTACTTCCTTTAAACTGTAAAAATTTTTACCATTTTTACCATTAAAAAGTTGATTTTTAATACATTGCCAAGATAATGTTCTGCAGCTAATCCCAACACATATCTTTTCTAACTCCTTTTACCTGAAGACTCCTAGGTGCTGACCATCCTGACTTGGGTAATTTATAATATTCACTGTCATCATTACTATTATTTCTTGAACACTTCTTATGTTTCTGATACTTTATATCAGTGGTCTACCTGAACAAGGTCTCCTTCACCATGTCCATTGAACATTGTTATTGGATGGCTATCTCTTTCTTTCTACCTCATAGTTGAGTTAGTATTTTCAGCCCCCGTGCTGACTGATCTCTACATCTTCCTTCATTCTATATGCCTATTTTGTAAAAGTTCTGTCATGCCTCCAGCATAATCAGCCTTATCATGTACGAATCAACTGACTCTAGTTCAGTGTTTTCTTTCCTTTGAGCAAAAGCTCTTTGGAAACAGAGATAATAAGCAAGGACCACAGGGGAGGTTTTCTTCTCTCTGTGATTAGTTGCATTTGTTGCCTGGTGCACATGGGGAAAGTATTGTCATTAGATCATTTTCTTCTGTTCCATGTGATGCTGCTGTTTAGATAGTTCAAAACAGGGAAAACAGAGCCCTGCTAATTGCTTGTGGATTTTTAAAGTGTGAATGCCCTTAATAGCTTAAATTCTTTTTTTTTTTTTTTTTTTTTTTTTGAGATGGAGTCTCGCTGTGTCACCCAGGCTGGAGTGCAGTGGTGCGATCTCAGCTCACTGCAAGCTCCGCCTTCTGTGCTCATGCCATTCTCCTGCCCCAGCCTCCCGAGTAACTGAGATTACAGGCGCCTGCCACCACGCCCGGCTGATTTTTTGTATTTTTAGTAGAGATGAGATTTCAACATGTTAGCCAGGATAGTCTTAATCTCCTGACCTCGTGATCCACCCGCCTCGGCCTCCCAAAGTGCTGGGATTACAGGCGTGAGCCGCCGTAGCCGGCCTAATAGCTTAAATTCTTATAAAGAGATTGTAGAATAATTGTACTTTTAGCCTACACCTTCTAAATTCTGTTTTCTAAGTGATTATTACTTGGATCCGTGGTAGACCTCCTATGTAGACAAACCAACTTAAAAATCCCTCAAATTTGTAAAGATGTAGATAAAACTGAACTGTCTTTATTAAATTCTAGGTCTTCTGTTGCCAGCCAGTTTTAACTTAATACTACATTGTTTATTTTGTTACTCAAATTGTTTCTACTTTTGCCATTGGGAGCTCTTTCAGTTGCTTCTGCATCTTTTTGACATTCTCATCCATCCCTGTGTTTTGAGTACTTCCCTACTTTTCTGGCACTACGTGATGCTCCAGACTCATCTTGTATATTCCCTGCTCTAGCCCTAAAATTAATCATTTCAACCAAGGATCCCTGGTTCCTTTTATTGGAAAATAGTATTAGAAACCAGAT